ACGCGCGCTCGCGCTCGCCGCTCGTGTAGCAGTCGCTCTGCGTCCGCGACTTGCGCTTCGGCGGCCCTGCGCTCTCGGCCATCCCGTCGTCGTGTGTGGGGTTTTGACACTGTAACAGCCTGCGGCCTGTTTACCGGATTTTTCCTGGGGACTTTCTACATCGACCGGATAATAAGACGCGAGCGACGGAGCATGCAGAGACAGAAGCAGCCTTTGCTCCTCCTCCTGCCCCGGTCGCCTCGGTCGACGCGGCCCAGGCGAGGTTGCGTGCTGCCAGCGAAAGGCCACCGCGTCCGGCTTCAAGACCTGACCTGACATCGACGTCCATGCAATGCACGATGTATGGGCTAAAATCACGCCATTCGTGATGGGCACGAACCACGTCCCGTGAGCAACGCTGAGGTTGAACTCGCTGATCGCGTGTTTTGGACGGGTTCTTGAAGTGTGTATGCTTGTTCTTGCATTGGCCGTCCCTTCCGGCAGGACTCTTCGACGTCGTCGTTGTCGTGCAGGCTGTAGTCACGTCGTTACACTTATGTCGTGGAGGACTCGAAACCTTGCTGGATACACGCGGCGGCGTCGTCTGCGCGCGCTGCAGGTTGTGCTTCAATCTGATATCCTCGAGCCATACAAGGACAGTGGCCGTCGCAATGGCCTCGCGAAATGTAAGCAATGGGGCGGTCGCGCGCTGGGTTGGGTGCGATTAGACGGAAACGTCAGTTTGCTTTTTGGAACGATGAAGCCGCGTATCCTCGTGCTTGGCGGCGTCGGCATGGTGGGCCGCAACTTTGTCAAGCACTGCGTCGACCACGACCTCTGCAGCTACATCCGCGTCGCTGACAAGTCGATGCCCGAGATCTCGTACTTCAAGTGCGACCTCCTAGCACGTCTCTCTCTCGCTCACGCTGTGCGTAGCCCGAGCCACAAGGCGGCGTTTGCGTCCGACGTCGTCGAGTACGTCCAGGCCGACCTCACGCGCGACGCGCACGTCGAGAAGGCCTTCAAGGCCGAGGCGGGGCCGTACGACTATGTCTTCAACCTCGCCGGCGAAACCAAGTGCTCGCTGCCCGAAGCCGTGTACAGCGCCAAGGTAGTACGACAAAAACCTTGCATCAATCGCTAAAAACACGCATGCTAGTGCCGAGATCTCTCGATCAAATGTGGTACGTGGGGCTCGAGCCGCGGACTCTCTGTGGACGCAGCACGATCTTGTAGCGGCCAAAGCCCAGGAGCTCGACGTCAAGATGTTCATCGAGGTCTCGACGGCGTTCGTGTACAAGTCGCAGACCAAGGCGCCGGCGACCGAAGACGCGGCGCTCGACCCGTGGACGCTCCAAGCCAAGTTCAAGCTCCAAGTCCGTCGCTCTTGCCGCTTGCATTGTATGGAGAACCCGTTCTTGCTGTAGGCAGAGGATGCGTTGCGGGCCATGACCGGCCTCAACGTGGTGTTCGTGCGCCCGGCGACCGTACGTCACAGCTCTGGCCCATGCTTGCACCTAGTACCGGCCGTCTAGATCTACGGTCCTGGCGACGTCATGGGCCTTATGCCCCGAATTGTCTGCGCTGCCTCGTACGACATCCTTGCATGTGTTGCAACTCAATAGTGCATGGAGCGAGTAGGTACGTCCAGCTCCAAGAAAAGATGAAATTGCTTTGGGACGACGAGCTGCGCGTCAACACGGTGCGTCACCCACCCATCGATGGCGATGCGCAGGCGTAGTAGGTTCATGTGAAGGACGTGGCGCGGGCGCTCTGGCACGTGGCGACGCGTGGCGAAGCGGGCAACGTCTACAACTTGGCCGACAAGAACGACACGAGTACGGGTCGCACTATGCATCGACCGCCGATGACGTGGCGCGCGTAGGTCAAGGCAAGCTCAATGCGCTTCTCGGCCCGCTCTTTGGCATCGACACGGGCTTCATCGGCAAGCTCATCTCGAACCTCGCGCGCGTGCGTCGTCTCGTCCATGCCATCGTAGTATCACATTACTATGTACAATGGTAGCTCCGCCTCGGCGACGTCGTCGACGATGTCAACGACAAACACATGAAGCCGTGGTCGGACCTCTGCAGCGTACGACGACGACGACGACGGGCTAGTTTCTATGCTGATGTAGACGCACGGCGTGACCAACACGCCATTGACGCCGTACTTGGACAAGGAGTTGCTCGCGCACCACCAGCTCTACATCAACGGCGCCAAGATCGAAGCGATTGGGTTCGAGTACGCGTACCCGATGGTGCGCGCATCATCTCGTACCAAGAATCTCATCATCCTCGTCGTTGTCTGTGTAGCTCACCATCGACGAGCTCCGCGACGTCATTGAGGGCGCCATCGCCCAGCGCATCTTCCCGCCGATCCTCGCGTGAGCGGCTGCCAGGGTGCCACGTGGGAAGCTGCAAGGCTCCGCCAAACCATACTTTCACATACTACTTGGTGTGCTCCAACACGTCAAATAGTGTTATATTGCATCGCATGCGTTCTGTGCGCTCCAGAGTCGCGCATTAGTCCGTCGTTGTCCAGAGAGCAACAACAAGCAAATGTGCAAACTAGATTGCGGGCATGGACGGCCGTCAAGCGCACGGCGACGACGCGTAGAGATCGACGACTCATCATTGTACACTATTTCCGTATACACTGTGGAAAAGCATACCTGTGGAAATGAATACGATGCGTGTATTTATGAGCTCCGGAAAAAGGCCGGGGTGACACCCACTTTATTGTTTATTTTATCACTGGATAATTGTATGGTGGTGCGACCCTTTTAAATGAATTGCGTGGCGATGGGGTAGAGGGTCCGCCAGTTGGCGATGCCCATACTGAAACCAAGTGACGTGCGCGACCGCGCTTGGCAGATTTGACCACACGAAGAGATGGCGGCAATGGCGCACAAGGAGGAATGGCCGACGTCGGCCGACGACTACAACGTCATCGAGAAGATCGGCCAGGTGCTGCGGCGCTGCCACGCTGCCAGCTCATGGCCATGGCTCTAGGGCGCCTTCGCCAAGGTCATGAAGGCTTACTGCAAGCCCAAGGACGTCTTTGTCGCGATCAAGATCATGGACCTCGAGAAGATCACGACGAGCTTTGAGGATATCCGGGTACGCGACGAGCGGCCACGGCCAATGGTGCGACGTGATGATGCTAGGCCGAAGTCCAGACGATGAAGATGACCAACCACCCGAACGTCCTCAACTGCTATTGCAGGTAGTCCGACCACCTGCAAGTGCGACGTCGCGCTCATGTAGCGATAGCTTTGTGCACAAGGATCAGTTGTGGCTTGTCATGCAGCTCATGAACAAGGGCTCGTGTTTGCATGCCATGAACCAGCTCAAGAAGAAGTCGCTCGGCGAAGGCATGAAGGTACCGCGTCGGCCAGTCAATCAGCACCGACATTGCATGTGCTGCTAGGAGGAACTCCTCGCCGTCATTCTCAAGGAAACGCTTCAAGGGCTTCAGTACTTTCATGAAAATGGGCAAATCCACCGGTAGACGACGCCGCATGCACCACCATGCCAAGAAATCCTCATCCACGTGGCTTCTAGTGACATCAAGGCCGGCAATATTCTGCTGGACAGCAACGGCCACGTCTTGATTGCCGACTTTGGCGTCTCGGGCTGGATGATGGAAGGCGGCGATCGTCGCAAGAACCGCCAGGTACTTCACACCGGTGTTCTTGCTCGAGCCTGTCACGTGGTCCGTAGACGTTTGTGGGCACGCCGTGCTGGATGGCGCCGGAAGTGATGGAGCAAGTGCGCGGCTACGACTACAAGGCTGACATTTGGTCGTTTGGCATCACGGCCCTCGAGCTCGCCAAGGGGTATGCTCCGTACGCGCGGTACCAGCCCATGAAGGTAGAACCTTCGCTGTCGCTCGACGCCGCATGCATGGTTTGCTGTACCAGGTGCTGTTGCTGACGCTGCAGGAAGACCCGCCGTCGCTCCGAACCTATGACGTACCCCCGTCGTCGATCGGTGCGTCGGGTTGACGCTCTTGTTGTAGGACGATGGCACGGGGCATCAGTTTTCGCGCCATTTCAAGGACATGGTGCGCCTTTGCTTACAGAAGGACCCGGCCAAGCGGTACGACAGTATCAAGTCTCTTGTCGTATCTTCACGGGGACTTTAGGCCGTCGACGTCGACGCTGCTGAAGCACCATTTTTTTAAGAAGGCGGGCACGTGCCAATTTTTGGCCGCCGAGTTGCTCTCCAAGGTCGACGACATTGGCGAGAGCTCGATGAGCACGCAGTCGCTCCCTGGGTACACACATCTTCTTCCCCTTTTTTGTGATATAGATGGGGTGCGGTAGGTCGGGCCCTCTCTACTCCAAGGACAGCGCCGACGACGCCAAGTACGTGCCGGGCACGACGTGGGTCTTTGACGACGAGGACGACAAGCCAAAGGGCGCGGTGGACGACGACATGGACGACTTTGCGTCGCAGTTTGACAAGGTCAGCGGCGAGACGTACCGGAAAGAGTAGTTGGTGCAAGTGGCAGTGTTTCAAGTTATCACCAAACATGGAATTTGCTCGATAGAAAAAAAGGTTGTAAGTTCTGGGAGACTCTCACGACATTCGCACACGGCGTCGCTTTACGCAGACCCGTCAACCTCCAGAGGCGCATCGAGGCGTTCTTGGTAAAGACCTATCGGCGTGCCGCGTCATGAGCTCCACCGATATCGATTACCGGGCTACAAATCCATTGTTTTTTGTCGTGGGCTGTAGTGGCAACAAGATGTTGGACACATAGTGATTCGTGTTGCAAATTTGAGGTGATTAAGCTTCGTTTAAGGGCTCTCTCTAGAATTGAGTCTGCTTGGCTGATCGTGTGTGGTTGTTATAATCTTATGTAATTGGGATGTAAGCACCGCCCGACAGACGACTGCAGGCACCTTTTTGGTACTTCTACAGTCCTCTGGGCGACGCCGCGAGCGCATCGATGAAGGACGGTGCGCAGGCGACATCGGCGATGCCTGAAATTTAGTTTTGTGCTTGCTTGACCCTGCCACTCCACAGTAATTTGGACAGTGACAGTAACGCCTATACAAGCACGGTCTCTCGACTGCTCTACTTTCGTTGGATCTTCAACTTCTGCTACGGTCCTTGGCGCCTCTTCTCGGACGCTCTAATTTGCAAATGAGAAACCTCTTGGGAAATCCAGACAAACGATTGGCTGCGACGATACCTCTCAACATCAATGTGCAAAATGTATTGTCAGAGGTTGTTTCGCGTTGACGTCCGGATACCAATATTGTGTCCGGATGGTCCGGCACCAGGAATGTTGGTAGACAGGACATGAGCCAAAAATGCTCCCAAAAATTCTTGGCCGCTTCATGGCGACGTCGGTGACTTGTTGACACACGTTGTTGCACAAGCCATGCGCGGGGCACGGTCGCAACGCGCTCTACACCTCAAGGTGTCTAAGCGGCGGGATCGAGAAATGACAGGTCGACATCTATCAAGCAACAAACGCGTGGGACAATGAGAGAGTACAGTAAGGAAGAGTGTCAAGCCGGCTTGGAAAATAAACTCAATCTCTGTGTTAATATATAAAGAAGACACTGTTTCGCGACTAGACCGCCCGCTCGGGCTGCCGCAGCCGGTCTTGTCCGCAGTTGGACTTGGACGCGTTCACCGCGAGCATACCAGACGCATTCGCACCGCGTCGGCAGACGCGCGAGATCGGCGGCACCACGATCAACACGAGCGCAAGCACGTTGAGGACGAGGCAGCAGACAAACCCGAGAAGGTTCAGCGGCGTCTTCAGCAAGATAAAGTACACGTGGCGGCGCGCCATGCCGGCCCGCGACTCGATGCGGTCCAAAAGCGCATGGCCGGCCTCGCGCGGACTGAGCGAGTTGGCAAAATACAAGTCCATGTCAGCCACGCCATCCGCGAGCTGGAGCGCGCTCTGGAGCGCGACAAGCGACACGGGCAAGAGGAGGATGTGCACCACGAGGAACGCGAGGCTCACGGGGATGTTGATAGCGCCGTAGGCCAGGAGAACCGGCGCGAACTGCGCTTTCCACGCCTCGTCGTCGGCTACCGGGGCCTTGTCCGCAACCAAGTGAGGCGGGAGATCGCGCGGGACGGCCGACGCAGCCACGGGCGCCGTCTTGGGCGACGCCAGACGCGTGTACGTCACGGGCGGCAGCACTCCGTTGTTGTTGCTGCTGCTGGACGATGATGAGGACGAGGCCGAGAGCACCGTGGTCGACGTCGGCGCGACAGGGACAACGACATTGTCCTTCTCGGGCGTGTGGTCCATCGCCGCTTCGTCTTCGTCGTTAAAGTCGTCGTCGTTGAGGTCCTCGAACGACTCGCCGGCCTCGGCCCACTTGATCTTGTTGAGGTCGACCGGCGTCTCCAGCACGATGCTCGACACTTGGCGCTCAAACTTGGCCACGTTGATGCGCTGCTTCTTCTTCTCGGGCACGCCGAGCAAGTACAAGACGTCTTCGTCGTCCTTCTTTTGCTTTTGCCGCAGCAAGGTCCGCGTGCTTTGAATGTCGAACCGATTCGAAGTGACCGCCGCCGACCGTTCAAAGGCCACGCCGTCCGAGGACGTGTAGACCACAATCTGCACGACATAGTTGAGGTCGTCGCTGTCGTTGTCGTCGACGCGGCGCTTCTTGGGCAGCTCCGCATCAAACTTCCAGACTTCGGGCAGAAAATAGACATGGGTCGTCGCCTGCGTCATGTCGCTCGTCGCGCCGAGCGTCCACGACTGCTGGAGCGCATGGACACCGGCGCTCGAGAGGGACAGCGGCGCGTCCACATCGACGGGCTTGGCAACGGTCTGGCAGCGCGCCAGCACGAGGAGGTGCGTGGGCGGCGTCGGGTGCGACACGCGGACCTTGACCGGCGCGCGGCACACGCCCTTGCCCGCGTGTTCGAGGCCGTGCATCTTGGCTTCGTAGTAGTTGCCGTGCTCGCGGCAGTACGGAAAGCACTGGAGGTTCTTCCGGTCGTTGCGAAAGTACTTGCGCAGAAAGACCGTCTCAAGCACGACGCTGACCTGCGGGTCAAACTCCGAGAGCTGCCCGCCGCCGTTCTGGAACGTATCGAGGAGCTCAAACGACGAGCTCGCATGCAGCAGCCGGGAGAGCGAGTCGCGCGCCTCGAGCGAATGCGACAGCGTCTCAAAGAGCTGCGGGTTGTCCAAATGCATGGGCGAGAGCGTCTTGCCGGCGGCGTTGGCGGTCGCATTGAGCAGCGTCGAGAGCACGTCGTCGTCGGGCAGCGATGACGACGACATGTGGTAGATCGGGACGGGCTCGGCCTCTTCCTTGATCGCGATCGACTCGTCGTCCTCCATGTGTTGCTGGACCTCGAACGACGACATGGAGAGGTACGGAACGCGGCCCATCGTGGCAATGGGTTGCTTGGGCTCGTGGCGCTCAGCAAAGGTAAAGTCATCGTCCGTCATGAAGTCTTCAAGGGCTTGGTTGCTCGGGTCAGCCTCGCCATCCGTCTCGTCCTTGATCTCGTAGCTCACGGGCACGACGAGCCGCGGCGCCACGTCATTGCACTTGCACGCCTTCTTCGTCCACGCAAGCCCGAGCGAGTTGGTGTACTGGTCGCAGCTCGGGCAAAAGTTGGCGTACTTGACGTACTTCTCCGGCACGTTCTCCTTGAGGTACGCGTCGTAGGCGCGCGCGGCCTCTTCCTGTGTCCGGCACGTGTTGATGATGCGCTTCGACGAGTACTTGGCGCCCCACGCGGTCTTGCTCGTGCGCGTCACGCCGCGGTACAGCGATGTCTGCACTCAGATCTTAGCCTTTATTGCAGGTGTCGTGCCGGGTCTACCTTGCCGTTGGTCATCATGCCGTCGTTCATGGTCTGGTGCGGCCGCTGGCTCGCCGGGTTGCTGCTCGTGGTCGAGGATGCGGTCGAGGACGGGCTCCAGCGACCGGCGTCCGAGGTCGTTGTCGTCGTCGCTGAGTAGTCGCTTTCTTCAGACGTGTAGCCTGCGAGTGACGGCGACTCGGGGTACGTCGGTGGTCGCGGCACGTGGATCGTCGATGTGCTCGTGTCCTGCTTGGGGAAGATGCCTACAGACGAATCTGCATGAGCCTATTAGGCCGCCACGTCATGAGATTGCCGTTGAAGAAGTCGGGGTCGTAGTCGAACTCGTCGAGCTCCTCGAGGTTCTGTGTCTCGAGCTGGTTGTTCATCGCCGCTCGGGTCTTGCAAAGTACGTGCCGCTTGATGGCGGCGGCAAGCATCAACTCTCGCAGGTTGCACGCCTTCGACTCGCACTTTGTATACCCCAGCAGTGTCCAACAGCCGTCGGCACTGTCAGACGCTGGAAGAACCTCTGGCATTTTATACTCGCTGGGACACGGCCACTGGCTTCTCTACGTGCCATCTGATCGGCGGCCTGGCTCTTCCGAGCAGCAGCGCCGCCATCGTCAGCTCCAAGCTGCGGCCATGGGCCTTTGTTGCTAGCATTGTCTGTACGGGTTGGCATGAGCTGCGCTGGCTGCGACATTGCATCGCCATCCGCATGTAGCGTGCTGCACCACTGTGCCGGCGCAGGTGCAATCTGGCGTGAGGTCGTTCGGCCATGGCACTCTGCGCTCGTAGACGCAAGCTGTCCATGCAGGACGACGCCGCCGCATGCGTTAGATTCGCGTGCGGTGGAAAGGCGGCGGGTAAGCACGTCGACCTCGTCTCGTGCGTCAGCCCGTGCGCGTCAGTTATCCTGGACGTCTATTTCAAGGCCGAGATGTCACCGATGAGTAGCAACAATCGCTCATACAACATGACAGACACAAGTGATGTCGTGGGGCCGCTCTGGCAGGCGCAGCGCGTCTCGTCCTTCCAGAACCTCACGCGCAGCCTCGACCGGCGCAAGCCAACGATGCGCGTGCTCTGGGTGGCCGCGGCGCTCATGCATGCGATGGCGGGCGCCTTTCTAGGTGGCATGGCGTATGCCCACCTCTACCTGACGCATCCGTCGCTCGGCTACGACTATGTGACGGTGCTGCACCTCTACCGCCCCGTGCTCACGACGGTCGCGACCTTTGGCGCGCTCGCGAGTCTCCACGGCCTTCGCCTGCTCCACATGCTGCTCCGAGCGCTCAAGCCATCGCGCCGCGTTGCACCCTCGAGCAAGAGCTCCACCTCGCGCAACTCGGAGACGGGGTTGCATCATGTCGTGCGGTTGGGGTGGCGGCACCTCCGGCTCGTCGGTGTCCACGGACCGTACTTTGAAGTCAAGGTGGCCTTTCGGCACCTCTTGGTGTCGAGCACGAATACGTACCGCGCGTACCGGACCGCGCTCCTCGTCGGCGACCCAGCTATCAACACGACGGTCTCCGTCATCTTGTGCCTCTACGGACTCTGTCTGCCGCTGCTGTGGATCTCGACGCAGCGCACGTCGAAAGCGAGTCGGCGGCTCTGGACGAGCCTCGTGCACGTGGTATTGAACTTTGGTATGAACATTCTACTGCCGACGTGGGTCCTCGCGCCATACGCCGACTTTTTCACGCGGCCGGACGCGCTCGCGCTGCAGTACCAAGACACGTACTACCCGGTTGGCATCGCGATCTGCCAAACCGTCCTCATCACATCGCTGCTGGACTACGGGCTCATGCTCTTTACCCAGCTCTTCCTCTTCTCAGCGCTTTACGACTTTGTGGCGTGCTTTTGCAGTCGGCGGCGGCTCACTGCGACCGAGCTCGTCGCGGACGAAGCAAACCTTCGCGAAGCCCTCAATGTCGTCCGCCGCCGCCTCCTCTCGGTGCGTTATAGCGCCAAAAGGCGGCTCGTGCCCGGTCACAAAATGGGCTTCTTCAAGCGTCCAGCGACCGCCATTGTCCCGTTCGATGTCACGACCGCGATCTTCCGCAAGTCGACGCGCAAGCATTCGTCGCGCATGACGCTCTGTGTGGGGTACAGCATCCTCGCTGGGTACCTGCTCACAATCGTTTGGGGCCTCGCAATCCTTGGACTCAACTTTGTACCGTGGTACGAGGTCGACTGCCCGCGAAGCTGCCTCGCGCAGACACGGCCCTGGTTTACCCGTACGTGCGCGTGCTTGGCCCTCGAGGCGACGTGCGACCCGGCGTCGCATGCGCTGGACCTCGACTTTGCCGTTGTGAGTCCGACGTCCGTGGTGTTTTTGATCATCTCGCACTGCCCGCAGCTCAAGATTCCAGCCAAAGTATCGAGCATTGTGAACCTCGTCGGGCTCCTTATCTACAACTCGACGCTGACAACGTGGCCAGAGGATGTGACCGTGACGCACTTCCAGCGGTTTTCGATGCGATGATTGTGAGCACCAACATGACGACGCTACCACTCGGGCTCCTCACGGCGCCGTCGAGTTCCTTTATCGACTTGGAGGTGTCGCACTCCAACCTCCGCGACCTCGGGCTCGCAGTGAGCCACTTGGAGACGCTCTCGGTCGTGTATCTTGAACACTGCGCCTTTAGCGAGTATCCGATGGAGCTTGTGGCGCACGCGAGCATGAGCGGCTTCTCGCTCATGCACAATAGGCTCACTTCGATTCCAGACAATGTGTCCTATCCAGCCTTGATGTACCTCGGCGTCTCGGGCAACCCGACGCTTGGTCACCTGCCCGACGCGGTCGTCAGCCAATCGTCCTTGGGGGAAGTGTCTTTGGAGGCGACGAACGTGACGACGCTGCCGCCGCCGACGTCGTTTGGCCCGAGCCTCGGCGTGTTGGCCATGAGTGGCACGCCCTACTGTCTACTGATGAGCGAGAATGCATCGGACGACAGTATCGTCGTCTGTGACGTTGGAGATTACGTGGACGGCTACTTTCCCTTTGCCCAGATTGTTGCCCAGCGCGCAGCGACGTACAACCTGTTGTTTGACGACGAAATGGAATAGCGGTGACGTCGACTAGCATTGATCGATCGATCGATCGATTGATTGAATGATGGATTGAATTGAAATCGTTTCACAGCCTAAAACTCTACCTACTAAAGATATAAAGTTGTCGACTAGCATCAGAGCATGTCGTACGACTTGACTTATCAACGGACTGTGCGTCGCCACCTCGCCACCGTGGTGGCCAGTAGAGTCCGCTTGAGTGGAAACTCTTCTTCGTATGTATGTGTATACCATGCAACGCGGCAGGACCTTGGTCTTGTGCCTACGTCATGGCTACACGCTGAACGCTTCGGCGACCGAGCGGCCTTGTCCAGTCCATCGGTTTGCCTGAGATGGGCGCGATGGAGATGCTGGTTTAATTTGGTATTTTCAGCGCGACAAGAATAGTCCATGGTTGTCACAGTACAACGTCTCGCGCAAGATGGTCAAGTGGAACAAGGTGGTGGTCACGGCGACGCCCGATGCCGTCTCGCACCCCCTATCAAGACCGACGCAACGACGCGCGGCGACAGTCCACCGATCAAGACCGCGCATGCGCTGCCCAAGCGCTTCTTCCGGGTCGTCATTTTCTGCATGCACGTCTCGGGTGCGGGGTACCTCGCGCTCATGGGCTACGGTCACTGGTACCTGACGCAGACGGCCGGCGGCTACGACTACGCGACAGTCCTGCGGCTCTTCCAGCCCGTGAGTGCGTCGGTCGCTGTCTTTGCAAGCCTCGCGTCGCTCCACGCACTCTACATTGTGCGCTTGCTGTTGCGCAGCGTCAAACGACACGCGCCGTGCAAGCAGTACACGATCGAGACGCCGCCGCCGTCCTCGAATCCCTGCGTGCGATGGCTCGCGGCGCTGCGCGAGGTGCGCCGTCTATTCCGCGTCGACGGCCCGCACTACGAGTACAAGCTCGCGACCAAGCACGTGGTCGTCGCCGCTTCCCAAACCTACCGCGCGTACTCGACAAGCGCGCTTGTCGGCGTGAGCTCGATCAACGCCGTCTTCTCGTGCCTCCTCTTTGCCTACGGCGTCGTCGTCCCGGGCCTTTGGCGGTTTGCGCACATGCCCAAGCAGGCGCGCCGCCAATATACACTGGTTGCGACAATCGCGATCAACTACGCGGCCAACATCCTGCTCCCCACGTGGATCCTGTCGCCGTATTTCGACTACTTTACGCGGCCCGACGCGGCCACGCTCGCGTACGGCGATACATTCTACCCGATTGGCGTCTCGGTGTGCCAAAGCATCCTCGTGACCTCGACGCTCGACTTGGTTCTCACGGCCATCACGCACATCTTTCTCATGACGGCCATGGCAGACTTTCTGCGCAGCTTGGACCTGCCGCCGTCCACACGCCGCGTCTCGTCGTCGGTCGCCAGCGGAGCGCTCCCGACCAAGTGCTACATGACGCTCATGCGCGTCTTCAACCGCGCCGTCCTCGCCGGCTACGTCGCCAGCGTCCTCTGGGCGCTTGGCATGATCGTCTTCAACTACACGGCGTGGGCGCATCCGCCGTGCATGCGCGGGTGTCTCGCGCAAACCTACCCCTGGCTCACGGGCAAGTGTGCATGCACCGTGCTTGAGACGACCTGCGACGGTGTCAACGACACACTCACACTGCCGCCAAGGGACAGTCTTGAAGTCCGGTCGCTCGTCTTTCTCATCATCTCGCACTGCCCGCGGCTGGTCATGCCACCGTCACTGCAGGCGTTTACGAATCTCATTGGCCTCGAGATCTTCAATTCGACGCTCGTCACGTGGGACGAGAGTGCTAGCATTGCGCCGTTGACGCGCTTCTCGTACGCGATGATCGTGAGCACCAACATGACCGACTTGCCGCTCGGGCTCTTCACGAACGCGCCGTCGACGTTCATCGACCTCGAGATTTCTGGTACAAATTTGCACCAGATCTCGCTGCACCCAGATCTGCTCACGACGCTCACCGTGCTCTACATCGAGTACGGCCTTCTGGACGCGTTCCCGTACCAGCTCACGAGTCTGCCTCTGCTGAACGAACTCTCGCTCTTCAGCAACAACATCCCGTCGGTACCCGAGAACCTCTCGCTCCCGAGCCTCAACTACCTCCAGCTCGCCAGCAACCCACTGAGTCAGACGATCCCAGACGCCGCGTTCACGCTCCCTGCTCTCTGGGAAATGAACGTCGACCTCTCGAACGTGTCGGCCTTTCCGACCAATGCGTCGGTCTATGGCAGCGCGCTCTACGTGATCGGCGCGTATAACAGCACGTACTGCTTCTTGCGCGACAATGCAACGTGCGCCGAGACGCCCGACTGCGCGCTCGTCTCGTGCGAACCCAACGACTACCTGCTTGGGTACTTTCCAGTCGACGAGATCCACGCACTGCGCAGCGCGACGGCGCCCACGTTCTTGGAATAGCAACTGCTCATGCAATTTGATCGAGAATGCCTGTCTGACTTGTCGTGTTCTGCAAGCTACTCGGGTCGTCATGGGTGCAATACCATTCCAATGCGGCGAGCTCGTAGCCGAGGCTGGCCCGACGTGGCCATCCTCTTACAAGATGGATTGGCAGTGACGACCTCGGTCCGCGCTTCCCGCGATACACGGCGTTGGCTACGCCGCTGCCCCGTCGCTGCACCGCGCGTTGGTCGTGGACGTGACATGCGCTCGCCGTGCC